TGCTGCTACGAGAGAGATTCCCCCTGTCTGCACCTGCACCTGGAACAATGCTTGTGTTGGCATCTTTTCTTAATTTCCTCTAGAGGAAGATGTATGGTGATGCAAGGAGACAGAATCAGATGCAGTGCTCTGTACTGAAATCTTCAAGCTGAAAATGAAAAGACTGATGTTAGAAGGTCTGCAGCTAAAACGCTTCAATCCCGAACCCCTCCAACAAGTTAAACTTTTAGCGTTCGTATGATGAACCATAACGTAACCCAAAAAGTAGAAGTCCTCAGATTCAATCAGAAGACAGCCAAGTTTAGGTCCCAACAACCCCGTCAGAGTACCATCACAGTACCCCTATGGCCCAAATCAAAACCACGCCCACCTTGACATTGCTGTGTCGTCTCTGAAGGCGGTGCCTTACCACAGCGTTTCGGGCTCTAGGCTTTGAGGTTCAAGGTTTTGCCTTTTTACGTTGTGGGAAGGAGGGTCTTGGACTTAGAAATTTGGGCTATACAAAAAACACATATGTTAGGTGGACCTCTTACCCTGTAATAGTGGTATAAGAGGAAAATAAGGGGACCCCTAGTATAGTTATTATATTCCTTATAGTCACTATTACTGGGTGGGGGGTCCACCTAACATATAGCCTAAACCCTAACATATATGCAAATGATCTGATCGGGCTTGAAATACCAGCGTGCAGGCCTAAGATTTCTACTCGGAGGTTTCGCGCAGACTTCCCTCGATGGGCCTTTGAACTCGAGGGTTACCTTTTGGGGTCCTCATAATAAGGATTCTAGTGGTTTGGGGTCTATAGGGCTATGCTGTGCTTAGAGCCCAAGTTGTCATGATTGAAACAATGCGGCTTTTGTCTCCAGACTTACAGTCCCCCTTTATGTAGATAGAATATGGGGTATATAGGGATCTTCTTATAATATGCCCAAATCATCCCAAATCCATATTCTATCAACTAAAGGGGGACTATACAGGTACCATGGTAGAGCGAGGTTGCCAAGATGCTCTTGCTACGTCATTGTCTGGACACCCTTTTGAATGCACAGTTCTTGTTTCAAAGAGGTTGCCGTCTCCCTTTACCCGTCGGAACATGAACATCAAGCTCCACCAGACCCTGGCCGACCTATGAGCATTCTTAAGCATCATCTCTCACATCTTCTTAGGCATTGCACACCATACACCCGTGGCGCGGCGGCTCTGACGAAACAATACGAAACATACCTGAACTAAGTGGGTGCGGGCGCATAGGTTGCCCTGTTGCTTTGTAAAGGTAGAAATGGCACGAAACTGAGGTTTTAGCGCCATTTGGAGAAAAAATGGGGTTGTTGCACGATTAAGAAACTATTGCAGTCAGGGCAACATTTCTCTCTGTCTTGGCCTGGCGTATCCAGAAGTGAAGTAAGGTTTAGGCATGGATGCTGTGGTGAGCGTATGCTCTTGGAACACGAACGGAAATAAGGTTTAGGCATGGATGCTATGGTGAGCGTATGCTCTTGGAACACGAAGTGAAATAAGGTTTAGGCATGGATGCTGTGGTGAGCGTATGCTCTTGGAACATGAAGGGAAATAAGGTTTAGGCATGGATGCTGTGGTGAGCGTCTGCTCTTGGAACACGAAGGGAAACAAGGTTTGGGCATGGATGCTGTGGTGAGCGTCTGCTCTTGGAACACGAAGGGAAACA